TATAGTTAATACTCGACCGAGTATAGACCAAAATTCAGGATCCTTCTTTTGTCTTCAAATTTTGCACCTTCTTTCCACTCTTTGGGTTCACCAACTGTACTTTGAGTGATCAAGACCTGTTTGAGCTCAGAATATATCTAATCTAAACTATTTACAAGAATTTAACAAACTAATCTATTACACCAAAAGTGTGTAATTTCCATAGTAAAGATCAAGCAAAACTTATTAAAAACACAAACATGCATATGGAAATTACAAACGTATCAACTCCCCCACACTTAAACCTTTACTCGTCTCGAGTAAGATCAAATGTTCACAAGTGTCAAGTTTCTCCAAAGTTCCCACAGTTTAACAAAAAAAAAATACAAACACAAAGACCACCAAGGATGACAAAAATGAGTTTTAAACTCAAATTACAAAGAACATCTTGGGTTTTATGGCCTTCTAGTGTTCATCTTCTCTCCTCCTCCTCCTCTCTTCTTCTTCTTCTTCTTTGTCTTTGTTTTCTGAATCTTCTTATTCTTCAAAGAGATACAATGAGTGCCTGCAAAAACAAACATTTCTCTCATATCTCTCATTTTGCCTAGGAGGCTTTTCAGGTTTTCATCCTAGCATCTCTTTTCATTTTCCATTCTCCCCAACTCACTCATTTTTTTATAAGCCTTTTTTGCTTAGATTGCCCATTTTGTTGGGTTTTCAACCTAACTAGCACTTATTTTCTTTTATTTATTCTCTTTTTTGTGTAAATAGTTCAAAAGAATTACATGCATAGTGCTAGGTGGAAATTAAAATTACATACCATCATGAGTCTCTCCCCCGCACTTGAATCAAGCACTGTCCCTAGTGCCCGCCTTCTCCGCCGTAGTAGCTCCCTCCGAAGCCGCTCCCCTGCCCACCATCTCCCATATATGTGTCCCCGCCATCTCCGCCGTCGTAGCCTCCACCCCCGGAGCCAGATCCTCCAAAGGTACCCCAATGAGTGGGGTCATACCACGAGGGTGGTGGAGGGGTGTTTGCCATGGTATGAAAAGATCCATGTTGTGCCATGTAAGAGTACATAGGTCCGTAGAACCTACGTTGGTCTTCTTCATACAGATGTCTATCGGCTTCCCTGAGCTCCTCCAATCGCTGAAAACCGGCCCTTTGCTCCTCCTGTATTTGGTTGAGCCGGTTGTCCATAGCCGTGTAGTTTGTGTTCATTTGGGCGTACCCCGTAAGCAACTGTTGTTGACCCTCCAAAAGTTGTTGAAAGAAGTCGGGTGGTGGAGGGTTTTGGTTTTGTTCGGGGATGTCCTGGCCCATGTCTTGATGGCTATGGAGTTGAGCATAGGGCTCGTAATCGGGTTGGTATTGGGGAGGTTCTTGCTCCGGTTCCTGGAGATGTGGTGGAAGGGCGTGTGGGAAGAGGTAATGGGGCACCTCTACTGCTTCTTTGTAGTGGAGTTTGGGGAGTTCTGGGTTGGGCAGGAGGAAGTATTTGAGGGGTTTGGGGTGTATGAGCCAGTTGTACATATTCTTTGGTCTTTCTCCACCATAAACTGTGTGGGAAAAAGTTGTACATCCCGAGTGGCCCAACCAAGAAATGTTCATCAAACAGTAGTCGAGTATAGGAGAGTTATCCGTATACCCGAACTTGGTGGCTAAGTGCATAATCACCCCACCCACCACAATAGCGCCCTTGGCTACGCTTTCTTTTTTGAGATGTGCCCACATAAGATTACACAGGTTGAAATCCACGTGAACACGGAATAGGGCCACAGACATTAGGCATACATCCCCCTTCCTAGTGTGATGGTTGTTGGGACGTCCATGCATGCAATTGGCAAGGAATTTCAAGAATAGGCGGAGGACGGGATGTTGGACATGACTAATATACAGTTGGGAGGAGCTAAATTTAGTCTCCCCGGTCATCTTTGTCCATAGGGTATGGCCGAAGGCGGTATTATCGGATATGGATTTTTTGTAAGGGACCGGAATACCAAAATGTTCGGCGAACTCAAGTTTCGTTATGGAGTGGTTGTGGTTAAACAAACGAAACTTGAGTTTATCATCCCTAAAATCCGCTTCATCGGTCTCAAATTGCACCGAGCTTATGAATTCATAGATAATTTTTTCATTGGAGTGGTATTGCATTTTGAATATCTTATCCATGCTCAACTCATGAAAAAATTTCTTAGTGCTTTTGTACACTCCTAACTCATTGAGGGCATCATGGCATAAAAAACGAGAGGGTTTTACTTGCCCTTCAATGGTGGACATGAAGCGGGTGCGGTGTTCGTTGTCGGTGAAGATGATGTCCTCGTACCCTGGGATGTATGCCCTAGTGTTGGAGCCCTGTCCTTTTTCCTTCCTTGGAGCCATTTTTGTGTGATTTTGGGCTTGAAATCCGAAAATTGAAGGTTGGGGTAGAGTTTTTTTCGGACCTATTGAACCTGGCTCTGATACCAACTGTCACGGACTTATTCTCGAACCCGTGCGGCACTAGCAACACTCACTCAAACTATGCTAGTCAGCCTAACTCTTGCGGAAACTAGGACACCGATAGTGGAGAAACTTGTATAAAGGCTTTATTGCTCTCAAGCTTTCGATGATACAAATGAGCCAGCCATGAGGGGTATTTATACTTGCCCTCCTCCTCAATGGACGGCTTAGATCTACTCGATCTAACGGCTACAATTCAATTCTAGAGTATTCTATACAACTCTATGATATTCTAGAGTATTCTACTCTATTCTATACAAGTGTATACTTATCTACATGAGTCTAGAATGTTCTCTTAGCCTCCAGGATTCTGCCCCTCTCTCTTAGGCATCTCTAGACTCCAACTCGCCTCCAGGTCTCGTTATGCCGCGGCCTATGCCACTCAATGCCGCGGCGTTCAGGAGAGTCGTGACATTCTCCCCCACTCAATCTCACGACGTCCTCGTCGTGGTCTTCCTGTAAGCCTCTATTAGATCCTTGTAGTTCCACAAGGTTAACTCGTGTTCCCAACTTGCCTCGCTGTCCGGAGCATCCTTCCACTTGATGAAGTACTCCACGTAGCTCGGATGTGCGCCTCTCCTCGGAATGACTCTATGAGCCAATATCTCTCCAACCTCGCGCTCGGGAACCTTTGTTATAGCTGTCGGTGCTCTCTTCGAAATGCCCCTACTCGGATCCTCCTTGTCTTCCTTGTAGGGCTTAAGCAAGCTCACGTGAAACACCGGATAAATCTCCAAGTGTGAGGGTAAGGTCAAGCGATAAGCAAGCTTACCAACCCGCTTCTCTATGGGAAACGGACCCTCATATCGCCGCACCAGCCCCTTGTGCAGCTTAGCAAACGTATGCTTCTGGTGGGAAAGGAGCTTTACTAGCACCAAGTCTCCTTCCTCAAACTTCCAGTCTCTCCTCTTAGCGTCAGCCCACTTCTTCATCTTCTTCGAGGCCTTAGCTAAGTATGCCCTTGCCATGTCGGCCTTCTCATGCCATCCCTTGGGAAACTTGAACGCGGATGGACTCGGACCTCGATATCCTACGGCCAAAGAGTGCGGAGTAGCCGGCTGCTGCCCCGTGGCAATCTCGAACGGACTTGCCCCCGTCGACTCAATCCTTTGTAAATTGTATGAGAACTGAGCTATGTCGAGCAACTTTGCCCAATCCCGTTGGTTTGCACTCACGTAATGCCTTAAGTACAGCTCCAACAAGGCATTAACCCTCTCAGTTTGGCCGTCGGTTTGGGGGTGAAAGCTCGTAGAGAAGTTAAGCTCGGACCCCATTATCTTGAACAGCTCCATCCAAAACTTCCCGGTAAAACGGGTATCTCGGTCGCTTACGATGGTCTTCGGTATGCCCCAATACTTTACCACATGCTTGAAGAATAAGCGTGCGGCATCTTCGGCGGTGAACTTCGTAGGGACAGGTATGAACACTCCATACTTACTAAACCGATCCACCACGACCATAATGTTCCCACACCCCTCGGACTTAGGCAAACATGTGATGAAGTCCATAGATATGCTCTCCCACGGCTTCTCCGGTGTGGGTAACGGCTCCAGCAACCCCGCTGGCTGTTGTTGATCCACTTTGTCTTGTTGGCACACAAGACAAGTATTCATATTGATGGAGTATATGGCCCGGGAACCCCCGGCCCACAGACTCCTGCTACTCCAGTAAAGGCCCAACAGGCCCAGAAGGCCCAACAGGCCCAAATCACAGCGCCCAGAGTACCAAGCAGCCCGCACTACGCGCCAGGGGTGCCTTCGACCCCTGGCCGAAGGCTCTAAACTCTCACAGAACGGGTTTCTCAAGCAAACTAAGAAACTGGGAGAAAACGGCAAAAACAGTAGCCCTCGGCACCAGGAGCCCTCGGCACCAGGGTGCCATCGGTTTGAGGAGCCCTCGGCTGCTGCTCTATAGCCGAAGGCACCTCTCCCGACATGATATCCGCCCCACATGCGTACAGATCACCGTACCCTGTACAGACGTCCCGTCCAACAGCCGCATTAAATGCGGCCACATGCGGCTGCCAACGCCAACCAGTTGAGGTGACCCCTCGGCCAATAGGCGCTTGACACGTGTCCCTGTCCGGCATTTATTGCTACTATAAATAGCACCCCATTTCCCCATTTGTAACCACGGCATTCAGACTGAATACACTCTCTCTCTTACTTACTCTTGCTCTGACTTCTCTCTAAGTTATTCTCAGCAATAACCCCTCGGATATATACCCCCCGGGTAGACTATCCATCACACATATATATATATATAAGGATCAAATGAGAAGAGTGCTTATCGTAAGAAGTGAGAATGCATCTGGTGCGTTCAATTTAAGATCTGTGCATCAGATTTGAAAAAAGTGCACGAGATAGTGCAAAAAGTATTAAAAAAGTGACCCTAGACGCGGTGGCACTTCTGTAATTAATCAGAACTTTTCTATCATCGCAAAAAGTGCATCAGATTAGCAAAAAAGCGCATCAGAAATAAATAAATGTGTAACTTCTCACTTCTCACGTTAAGATGTCTTTTCGTTAGAACCCGACTCTGTATATATATATATTCTAAATATAGTATATCAGGGAACCTTTTCTGGACAACAAATCAACAATGGTAACTGGTACGTTGTCATTTGGTACTGATACTCAATCTGGTGTAACGTGAGGCAATTAACACTGAAATAATCACGAAATTAATACAGGGAAAGCTTTCCTTGCTATAAATGGCGGTAAATCGATGATCGGCCAAAAGGGGCTATTTATACCGATCCCAAATTAACGAACTATCCATCTCCCACACGATCAATTATATAGATGCCGTCGCTAGAGATAGATGAGCCGTTGACCCCCGCCGGCCGGCTGTTTCTCCAACCGGAGATGAGCCAAATTATACACGCAGTCGCCGGTGTCAAGAATCCGTTTGATGTAGACGCCGTTAAATCGGCCTTCGCGGACTCTCTGCTGGTCAAACACCCAAGATTTAGCAGCCTGATGGTCAAAGATTCCGGCGGGCGCGAAAGCTGGCGGAGAACCGAAGTCAACATCCACGACCACTTCCTCATCCTCCGGGAGCCTCTCACTGGCGACCGATCCGTGTCGGACGAGGACGCGGTCAACGATTACCTCGCCGACCTCTCCGTCTCCACGCCGCTCTCCTTCGACAAGCCACTCTGGGAATTCCACCTCCTTCTCGCCCATAAATGCGCCGTTCTCAGAATCCACCACGCCCTCGGTGATGGGATTTCAATCATGTCTCTTTTCCTGTCTTGCTGCCGGGAAAACAACAGTTCCGGCCAGCCGCCGTCAGTTGGTGGGGTCGGAGCGGGACGGCGGCGGAGGTGGGGCCTCAAGGAGGTGGCGAGGGTGGTGTGGTACACGGTGGTGTACGTGTTGGAGTTTATACTGAGGAGTCTGTGGCTGAAGGATAAGAAGACGGCTCTGAGCGGCGGGGCTGGGGTGGAGCTCTGGCCGCGGAAGTTGGCCACCGCTAAGCTTACTATTAACGACATGAAAACAGTTAAGAATGCTGTTGCTGACGCGGTAAGCCTCTTTCCGACTTGTTAGCTTTCCATTTGTTGACTTTATTTGGTAATAACTTAGTAGCAAACGTCATTAATTTCTCACCAACCATTTGTCTGACAACAATAAAACACATTGCAATAAGTCACATCTCATTGAAATATTCTACACTACTATCTTATCGACTGGTTTTAAACCGAGACGTAATTAACTGAGATAATTGTTCGAAATTAAACGGATGTCACACCCTCACCCTATAGGATTTTTAGGAAGACGTAAGTGACGGTGATTCAGTCCGGTTCTATGATGGTAAACATTTTATTCGTGCGCAATATAGGTCCAGCCCAGCACGTAAGAGAGCTGCAACTTCCGCACGGTGGTTGCGAGTTTCGAACATTGGTCATTGTTCTAAACTTCCCACCACTTAACTAACTAAGCTACCTGCTTAGGAAATCAATTGAGATAATTAATACTATGATGAACTCAACTTTAATATGTAAAGACTATCCAACTAATTTGAAATTATAATATTCTAGCATTTTGTTGAATTTTTTAATTTCATGTAAACCGAAGTCAATTTTACTGTCATTATGCAAAATTCGTTTTGTTGCTAATAACACATACTACCTCCGTTCCTATTAAAACTTCCAAATAGGTTTGGCACAGAGTTTAAGATAGTGGGTATTGTGTGGTGGAGAGTTGTGCAGAGGAGAGAGAAATGTGTAAGAAATGTTGTGAACCACAAATTCTATACTAAAAAGGGAAAGTGGAAGTTTTAATTGGAACGGACGAAAAAGGAAAGTTGGAAGTTTATTTAGGAACGGAGGGAGTACTTCGTATGTCCTACTCGGTACCTAGTAGGAGTATGTTATTGTGATACAATCATGCTTGATATACACACCCTTGTACACACCTTATACACATCATGTTTGTGAAGTTTTTTTTTTGTTTGTGAATCCGGTTCACAGACAATATTTTGTTTGTGCAAATCAGTGTTTGTGAATCGTTGTTCATAGACAAAAAAAGCTTTCACAGACATAGGTGTGTACAAAAGTGTGTATAAGAATGTGTACAAAATGTGTCTACTTCGATTAGCTCGCAATTCACTTGCTACCAACTTTTTGCAATTCCATTCTTCCACAAATGATTCTAAAAACTTATAGGACCAAATCATTTTTTGGGGGTGAAATAGTACAGCGTATCAATCACACTATAATATAGCACGAATGTAGTTTAAAAGTAAGGAAATGGTATTTTTGTAAATCATTATTAGTACTACCTTCGTCCCCGGTTACAGGTTCTCATTCCAAAATAACATTATTATTCAGACAATAATTAAATAAAGTATTCAAGTATATTTGAGAAATAGTTTTAATAAATGTACAATATAATGAGATCATTGATGATAATTGTAATGTTAAAGATGTACTACATATTATTTTTAATATCTAATGATGAAATTAAGATTTAAGAGATTCGTTATATTTTAAAACAGAATTGTGAATCTTTAACTAGACGTCTAAAACTGAAAAGTGAGAAGGGTGGGAGTAGGGATGAATAAGGTCCTGCCGGCCCAGCCTGGTACCGACCCGAGACTGATACCGTTGGTCTTGGCTCGGAGCTGGTTTTTCAGAACTTGTACCGGCTTGGTACCCGGATTGGTGGTTATAAGGGGCTGGCTTCGGACTTGAGTTTTTGGGACTGGACGGCTTTTAAAAAAATTAATTAAATGAGTGGATACCGGGTGAGCCCGGTACTGTTTGGGCTCGGACCAGAACCGGTATCGGAGCATACCGGGCACCGCTTTTCCAGAACCGGCCCCGCCGGGTCCAGTCCGACCCGGGTCTAGGTGGGAGGGAGGAACTAAAATGGTTAGATAAGCACTGAATTTAATAGTTCTACATAAAACCCTTTTATTCAATTTTATTTGGAGGGAAAGGGATAATAAATTGGGAGAAAGGGCCATAAAAGTGCCCTTATTTACGACACCACTGCCCAAATTAGCCAAAACTTAGGGAAAAAAAACTTAGGGGACATGATATGAGGTGACTTAGCTTAGGGGACATGATATGAGGTGACTTAACTAAGGGGACATGATATGAGGTGACTTAACTTTTGGGTTTAACTTTATTGTAAGACAGTTGCGTACATCGCCGTCCTTTTGTTTTTCTGTGGGCGGTGGCTGAGAATTGGAGATACTTCCTCGCGATAAAAAATCGGCCAGCAATGACCCTGGCCTGAGACATTTGAGGCGGATCTGGCCCATCATGGATTGCAAATGAGGCGGGTCCGCTCCGCCCCGCCTATACAATGGAGCGGATCCGAGTATTAGTATTGACTCGTGTCGCTCTGACTCGCCCGTCGCGACCCGCTCAATATATAAGTATATACATACTTTTTCTTAAATTATACTACAAATATACTTCAACATACATATGTGTATATACAATAAATCATAAATTCTTTGATCTTATTATATAGTGGTGATATACTAAAATTATTAATGGAATCAATTATAAAATACTAATGATAACTTATTGATGTTCTATTCAATTTTGAACAAAAATAATTACAAATATGTTTAAATATTTCAACACATGGTATATGAAGATAACAACATATTCTCCTAAACTAATTTAAGCAAAACAGATATAAATAAAATAACAAATCTCCAAGAAAAAGAATAAATAATTCAAGAAAGATGGATATAAAGTCATCTATCCTTGAATTAATGTTGTGCTTCTAGTCATTTATATAATTTTAAGGAAATTATTGGCTTGGACTTACGGTATGACGGTAACCGGTATACCGTCTATTTTCAAAATATATACCGATACCATATCGAAGTAGGTGAGTAGGTGAAAGACATGGACCCATTGAGGAATAAATACGATACTCGTAGGATCAAAAGGGAAATTTATTATTTTGATTACTATATAATCTATTACGCGAAATCAAATGTTACGTTTTAGTGCATATTGGTTGATAAATTGAAAAACATGATCACCAAACGAGCCCCAATATTCGATATGAGAAATTTTGATGAAACAACTAAAAACAAAATATGAGACAATCATAAGTTCATAACTCAAGAGAGGGAATACTAAATATTGACCGGTCCAAAAAGGTTGGTGTGGCTCACATAATCACTTGGGTGAACACTTACTCCAAGTTTCTCATCCGTGAGACGTTTTGGGAGATACGGATGTTTGGCTCTCTATATGATTTCACTCACCGAGTAACTTTTGTTGGATTCATTCTTTGAAAACAGTACGGACGAAATCTAGTGCCGATGAAATCTAGTGTGATCAAATTCACATTTATTTGCTTAAGCCACGACTCCATGTTTATTAAAAGAAAGCAGACCAATCCAAGTACGGATCAATCACAGAACAAGATCCGAAGGCACAGCTTTAAACTTCGAATCTCCCCTAAACGGTTTAGTAGGTGAGTTCTTGATTGGAATTACCTTATCATTATTATTTTTTATCATTAAAAAGTGACTTATATAAAATAATCAGAATTTGGGCATGGAATAAAAGGACAAAAAGACCCCTCCCAACTGTCAGCCTTCGAACCACACTTAGAAACAACCACCCTACAAAAAGAAATATGACTCAATTATTCTATAATGGACAAAACTGAGTCAAAAGCGGTCAACATACACTTTCCACCACCCAACCCAAACTCCAGAGTTTGACGGAAGTAAAACCAAAACACAAGTAGCATAACATCTTGATCATCACAAAAAACTAAAAGAAAACCAAAACATACTTTTTTAGAATTTCAGACAGGCCTTGAAGTGTTGTCTTCCAAACCCTAGCCATGCGTCCACTCCGAGGCGACGGTTCAGTAGGGGTGTACCCACCTTCGTGGCTATCCTCAAACTAGGAACCACGTCTGATCAGCCAGCCACCGATATCAAACATTCCAATTATCCACAAACCAAATAACGAAACTAAACACCGATCCCACAAATCTAGCCACTTTTCGTTGCGGACGAGAGACGCCGATCTCCATGGTTCTCCCTTACCAACTGCAAACGGTACAAGAAAGTCACTGAACAACGAACTTAACATAACGTCGGCCAGAGAAAACTTAAACTGCACACTTTAAGCGGGAAAAAAACCTATGCGAAAGTCGCTAGGGATCAGTCCACAATTTGATGAGTCACTAAAATGTCAAAGTAATGAGAATGAACTTGAGTCGATATCTCAAAACAAAAGGGCCATGCTAGTTTTGATGAATTGAAAGTCAAAATGCGTATCCTCAAATAACAGAGCAAAGGGGCCTGGCCAGAACAGAGTCACGGCGGCATCAACTGAACAAAATACTAACAGCGGCAGAACAAATCAGCAGCTGTGATGGAAGAATCGGCATCGGCCGCAAGAGAGTTGGTAGTAGTAGCAGAACAAGATTCTTTTACCCTAATAAGCACCATCTTTATTGTCACCGACGTCCTTGGGGCACCTACAAACTTACTCGGCGCACCTCATTTTCCATTATTGGACAGGTTTGTCCTCTTTTAAATTTGAACAAACTATTCTACGCCGTAGTGCCGCACAGCCCGCAGTAATTATATTATACTCCGTATTGCTTCTGAAAGTTGAATCCTAAGGTTTTAATTTAAAAAGCAAATCAGCCCCTAAATTTCATTAAATTTTATTCCGTATCTAACGTTATTTCTAACAAATAATTATCATACTCAAAAGGCAACAAAGTTTATAAATATGTGTAACATAGTATAATTCTCTCCGGTCAAAAAAAACATTGTATAATTCTCTTACAAGTTTTTACAATTTTTTTATACAATGGGAATGAATTTGAAGATTGCTTAGAAAATTGTACTCTTGATTTTCATTCTTACGAGGTATTTACCCATCTCAATTTATATTAATCACTTCATCTGCCCACTATTTACATCTGGGGTTTTATTTTTGATTTGTTCCATTAAGTTTATCGCAAATAATGCTCGATAATATTTAGGTGATCATATATCTTTTTCATTCAACTTTGTATTGAATATTGTCTTTATTCTCTTATTAAATAACTATAATTGACACTTTTTATGATGTTTTGAATTTGCCTATTTTCAATTCCAGATCAGACGAAACAAGACGTAAACAGACTAAATCAGATCAAATTTTGATAGTTGTATAATAAACGTAGAACACACATTTAACATACCAGAACATTTCAGAGTCTTGAAACTAGACCAAATTTAAACAGATCATATCAAATCAGATCATTTGTAAAGGGATTATTTAAAAAGTTTTTTGTGCTTTGGAACTCGAGAAATTATAACTTGATTAATTTTTATACTATTATAGCGTACTTATGTCTATTGACAATCTTAAGTGACAAATTAATCATTAAATATTAAAAATAATAGATTTATAACATCACAATTATCAATACTAACTCCATTTTAATATATACCTATTAAAATTATTTCTCAAAATATATTTGAAATATTTTATTTAATTATTGTCTAAATAATCGTACTGTTTTACTATGGGAACCTTTGAACGGGACGGAGGTAGTAACATTTTATAAAATAAAAAACTATTTGCCACATGGCAACAAGTTATTGGTTGAAGAGTAAATTTAACATTAATATGGGGTAGGCCGTGTTTTCTAGGAGAACTGAACATCAATATTTTTGTTTAGTTTTAATTTAATAAAGTTAGAAGGTTAATCTTGTGAAGCCATGGTTACATAAAGTAAAAATGAGGGTGCGCAAAGCAACCCTTTGTTACGGAGAATTACTTTTATTTTGTTGATATGTTTATTCTTGTCATCGTCATTATTGTTATTAGCATCAATATGATTATTCTTTATACAATGATTCTCTATATAAATTGGGCATCATTTTTATATAATTTGGGTATCATTTACAAACAAATATAACTATCATTTTTTAAATACGACTTATTCACTTCAAATTAAAAGAATATATGCTTTTAACAGAACTAAATAATTTCTATTCAAAAATTACTCTTATTTCGTATGCTTTACTTCTATTTCAAGTACTCCCTTCGTCACAATATCAACTCCTGGTCAAACTTGACATACAAATTAAGAATGTGAGAAATATGTGGCGTAAATATATGCAAAAGGGAGAGAAAGCGAGGACAAATGATGTGAACCACATATTTTTTGTTAAAAAGGAAAAGAGATGGTTTATATTGGGACGAACAAGTAATGAAGATGTTATTTTTATTACATTACATTAAGTTTTGTATGATGAAACAATTGTGCAGACCATCAATGATGTACTTTTCGGAGTCATTGCATGTGGGTTATCAAGGTACCTTGCCATCAGATCCTCCAAAGGTAAAAAAATTATGAGTAGTATTCCGTACAAGTTATAGATTAATAACTTTTTTTTGGGTCGCAGTGTTTGGAATTGATTTTGCTTCTATTTTAAAAGTAGAAACAGAAACAGAATTAATTTTTAATATTACTAAGAAGTAGATCTACATATCCCATAACATTACATAAGAAACAGGGGTGTAACCACTGCATACAAGGCTTTGAAAGTTTGGAGTGGACATGTAGAGGCTTAGCATGGCCCCTAACTCCACCCTAGCTAAGAAACCACATATAGACAAAAAAGATTTTACGAATACTATTACTCCGTATACTTTATACTTCATCTGTCACTTAAAACTTTGTCATCTTTCCTTTCTATGACGTTTCAAAACTTTGCCACTTTTTCTTTTAATCAATTATTTTGTGGTTCTTATATTTCTCTCTCCTCTGTATAAACCTCAACAACATAGTTTTTACCTTTATTATTCTTTGTGTCGGTCAAACTTGACAAAGGTTTAAGGGACGGAATTAGTATATTACTAGGAAAAATATCAACAAGGTCAGTGCAGACTTTCATATATATGTCATATGTTCGTGGCAGTTTGCCTCTTTTGGTGTGATGGAGTATATGACCCAGGAACCCTCGGCCCATAGATTCTCACTACTATAATGAAGGCCCAATAGGCCCAGGAAGCACATTAGACCCAAATCACAGCGTCCCAAGTGCCAAATAGCCCACGACGAACACTAGGGTGCCTTCGGCCCCCTGGCCGAAAACTCATAAACTTACAGTACAACTTCTTTTAAGCACTCAAAGTGTGTGGGAGAAAGCGGCGAAAACAGTAGCCCTCGGCAAAGCCTAGAGCCCTCGGCACCTAGAGGCCCCCGGGATGAAGAGCCTTCGGCTAATCATCTACGGCCGAAGGCTTCTCCACGACAGAATCTCCCACCCACATGCGCTGGATCAACGTACCGAGTACAAACGTCACATCCAACCACCGCATTTAATGCGACCACATGCGAGTGCCAGTACCACCCCGTTGAGGTGACCCCTCGACCGCCAGAATGATGACACGTGTCCCTATCTAGCATTTATTGCTGCTATAAATAGCACCCATTTCCCCATTTGTAAGACACGCTCAACAGACTCAATACATTTTCAGCAATACATATTCCCTCTCTTACTTTTGCTCTGACTTCTCTCTGAGTTACTCCCGCAGTAACCCCTCGGATAGATACCCCACGGGTACACTTATCCATCATGGTGTTTTAGTTATTTATTTGTTATACTCTTAGAACGGAAAGTACATAGTTTCCAATGAAAAATACTATCCTCCGTTCTTTAAAAGTTACAACAATTTGACTTTCACATTTGTCAACACACAATTTTACTATAATTATATTTAATTACGTATTAGTAAATATTTAAAAAATTGAAAATTTACATGAATAGAAATTTAATACTCTCTACATCCCTCTAAACTTTATCAAATTTGACCGACACGAAGATTAATAAAGTAAAAATTATGTGGTTGAGGTTTGTGCGGAGGAGAGAAAATTATCTGGAATAACAAATTCTTTACTAAAAAGAGAAAATGACAAAGTTAGTGGGACAACTGAAAAAAGAAAGTTGACAAAGTTTTAAAGTACGGAGGATGTAATATTTTATACATAATAATTTAATTATATGGAGTATATATTATTAGAAAATCGTAGTCAAAGTAAGATGTGTGAATAATGCAAAAATTACAATGTTCCAACTTTTAATGTTGCAAGGTTTAAAGAATAGAGGAAGTATAATACTAAATTATGTTCGTAATTAACATTCATACAAGGAAAAACACATTTCCTAAACGACAATTGCATGTGGTGTAGAATTAAAGGATGGCCTCCAGATCACTGGTCTTGCGATGGTAAATTTACGACCACAACCGGGACTTCAGGTATTTAGTTTTAGTAGCTTTAGCTTTGTATACGGGTGGGCACTGGGCAGAGCAATGCGATTGTACTAACTACTAAGCTTAAGTCAATAATATAGTAGATGGGCTAATGAGAAAAAAAGAAAAAATTCACAAAGACTAAAATAAGAATTTTATCATTATAATAGTCCTTTGAATATTATGTCAGTGGCGTTTTTGATACTCAATTTTGAATTTTTCTACTTTTATTCTTACGGTTATTGTACGAAAGACACTTTTGATACCTATCTTTAAAAAAATCATATTTAGTCCTTAAACTATCATAAAAATAACACTTTGGGTTCTTCAACTATTATGATAGTGGCAGTTTTTATTCTTCACTTATTGTGCCAAAATTCTTGGAAAGACAAAAAGTGTCGGTTTGATAGTACTCAGTGAACTAAATCTGAGTAATTTCTTGTCGATGATTAAAAGTTTCTCTCGTACAATAGTTGAATAACTAAAAATTAAAAAATTAAAAGTTGAGTAACAAAAATGTCATTGACGTAATAACCAGGACTAAAAATGGCAAAAACTCTAAAAAAATTAACTGCCCCCAATTTTCAAAGCACCATATACAACCATAGTGTTAGGCACCATAGAGAAAATTTACATGTGACATGTTTGTCTGACACGATTATGTGTGTGCATGTGCGCGGGTGCAGGATATGGCGGAGCTGATGAGTAGCGGTAAATCGGGTACCCGGTGGGGTAACAAATTTGGGTATATGCTCTTGCCTGTGTATTACTTTCACAAGGCTTCCAATGATCCTCTGCACTTTGTCAAGAGAGCCAAATCTATGATTGACAAAAAAAAGCTATCCTTAGAAGCCCTTTGCTCCTACCGAATTGGCAATTTCGTCATGTCTTTCCTTGGTGTTAAGGTGCCCTATACTTTAGTCTATACATCCATATTTTTTAGTTTTATAATATTAGAGGCACTTACGGGCATGTAATGTTTCAATTCTGATTCAAGTCGTTAGATGTAGGTGGCGAGCATGCTCAACTATCGGATCATATGTAACACAACGTTCCTAATTTCAAATGTGATTGGCCCACAAGAAGAGATCTTCATTGCAGGCAACCCTATCACCTACATCAGAACAATCACATCAAGCTTGCCTCATGTATGTCCGACATTACTAGCGTAATCATGTATAATGTACTCCCGAAATTCGCCCCAATTTAAGCTTCTCACTTCTATCTTTTGGATGTTTCAAACGCTTCTCATTTATTGTTTATGAAATAATTAGAACTTTTAAAAGAAAAATTAATGATCAAATATTGAAAAAATATACATATAGCATGTAGTTATTACCAATGACCTCAATAGATTAAATACTCAAAAACTATATTTCAAAGAGGAATTACCCAAAATAGGACTAAAACCGTCTGTATATTCCAAAATAGGACTATCATATTTTTATTCCCAAAATTGGACTAATTACTGCCATGTTTTGGCAGTACCAGACTTTAAACATGACAGTATTTTCCAAACTTGGCAGTAGTTACCCCTATTTTGGGAATAAAAACATGGTAGTCCTATTTCGGAACTATCAAAGCTTTATACTCCTTTATTTCGGGAATTTTCCCTATTTCAATATGTACTCTATATTTAAATTATTTAATTATTGTCTTAATAACCGTGCATTTTTTACGAGAAGCTTAAGTCGGGACGGAGGTAATATTTTTAAAAGAAAATTTCCTAATAGTAGTAAACCATTTTGATTTTTCACAAATAAGAGAAACCATTATTATTTTCTTTCCAAAATAGGACTTATGCAATCTTATTTAGGGAAACTTTGTTCTTTTCACTAGACCAAAGAAATCATACTAGTATTTGTGAAGAAAACATGTTCAACGTACTTTGCATATGTTTTACTCCTATTTTAGTGCAAAAAAACTTTTAATTTGGTTTCTAAATATACAAATTTTAATTACTAACTCCAACTTAAATATTACCTGGGAAATACTAATTTATAAACTGTTTTTTGATCCATTTAAAACAGAGAGAGTACTAAAATGGAACTATAATCTATATGGTGATACTGAGGTTAAAGTTTGGAGATATGTATTAATAATGCAGCATGCATGCAGGCGATCACAATACATATGGTGAGCTATAATGGGAAGGCAGACCTGCAAATCTTGGTTGCCAAAGACATCATCCCTGACCCCAAGATTCTAGCTAGGTGTTTTGAAGATGCTTTGATGGCAATGAAAAAACAAACTGGAGCTGAACAATCCACACCGCATCCATGCGAACAAATAACATCGTAGATGTCGTCGACCATCATCTAAATCCATTAGACCACCTACTGAATTTAGTAACTATACTGTAATTAATACAATAATGTTAATTTATAATTTATTGTAATACTTTGATAAAAATGTACCCATGCAAATATATTGAGCCAAATTACCGAGCTAGACCGGTCAGCTTGGAAGAGTTTAATTAAGAGTAAAACCGTTTTCAAATTCCAAAATAGGAGTATTAATATTATGTTTTAATTACTGTTTAAGGATGAATAGCTACCTTTTAGACAAAGTTAGAAGCATGTTGTCTGTGTCAGGTCTGTCTAAGAAGTTTTGGGGTGAAGCAGTTAGCACTGCCACCTACCTGATCAATAGATCACCCTCTGTTCCTATATGAGGTCAAATGGCTATGTAGTTGAGTGCAAAGTTGAGTGCAAATGGTTGTTTAAGTTTTGGACCTTTATTCCTAGACCTCCTGACAGTTCTGTAGTTGAGTGCAAATGGCTATTTAAGATTAAGGAAGAACCTGGTAATAAGATATTGTTTAAAGCTAGACTTGTAGATAAGGAGTTTACTCAAAAAGAGGGGGTGTATTATGCTTAAATCTTTGCTCCGGTAGTCAAGTTTATTACTTTTAGGATTAATCTTGCTTTGGTTGCTCAGCATGACTGGGAAATGAAACAAATGGATGTAACCACTACTTTCTTGTATGGTGAATAAGATAAGAAAATCTATGACTCAACCTGAGGGCTTTGTGGATCCCAAGAGGAGTGACCTTGTGTGTATGCTTAGGAAGGTCTTATATGGCTTGAAGCAATCCGCTTGGCAGTGGATTAGTAGGTTTGGCAAGTGTATGCTTTCATGCCCCAGACCACATCTAAGCGTGTGTACAACTGCCGTATGACCAAATGACGTCACCCGCAAGTCAACGTGACTTAATCATACGAGACATACATGAACATAGTCCATACCATACTCAGTAAGTAAACATACATAACAACATCACAATTTGGATTGAATGAAAAACGGAAATATTCAATAGTCAATCATGGGCCACACATGACCAAAACGTGGGCTCGCATACCCAAAACATATCCATTACATAAATATCCATGATCGTAGTTTATAATTTGAAACAGTAAAGAAAGCACAAACCACATCTTTCTTTGGATCACTTCACCGAGCAAGGTGCGGATATCAAGCTTTAGCTTCAACCTGAAATGGTGGGGGTCCCCCAAAGGGGTCAGTACGCGAATACCGAGTGAGCAGTAGGCTGAATGTAGCATAACTACTGTTTCAAGTATATGACCCAAACATAGGGTGATACATACACATATATTCCTTTCCCACAAGTTATGAAATACTTATCAATATATATATACTTGGAAATACCTGACCCGTAAGTCATTGTTTATTTGGGAAAATAGTAGTAGTCAATGTCCTTAACTTAAATCCCAACCCACCCATATACCTATGAGTGTATATGACTCCTTCTGGTCCAAATCAATTATCATAAGGACATCGCCCGGTCCTGAATTACTAAACTGAAATCTATGAGTTTTGAAGAGACACGCCTGATCCTTGGGTACTATACCCACATAACCATGTTTTAAGAATACACACCCGATGCTTGGGTACTCCACCCTACATAACCGAGTTTTGAGGATACACGTCCAATCCTTGGGTACTCCACCCTATGTAACCGACTTTTGAGGATACACGCCCGATCCTTGGGTACTCCACCCAACCTCATATCATACTAGATAGGGTCTATGCCATAATCAATAATCAAGACAAAACCAAGTCTTAAGGCCTAAGCATAATCATCCATGCAAACCATGCATTAAAATCAACATATGGGAAAAAGAGCACCAAATCGGCGTCGGTTCAGACCTGAACGGTGCCGGTTCATAATTAATTAAATATAAATGGGCACCCCGTACCCAAACTGGCTCCGATCCTACCCTTAACCGACGCCGGTTGCCCCTTGTGCAACCGGTCAACTCTTCGTTGACCCGCCATTTCGAATCCAATTCGTGTCAAACTTAATCACAACGTGTATTAATTTATAAGCAACCATTTTATGCCCTTTTTGTCCTTACAAACATCACATATGTTTTTATAAACATTTTCATATCATATTTCATGCATATCTCAACAGTTCATTTCATATAGGCCTAACCACTTTGGCTAATCACATGTTTAAACTCTTTTAAACATCATTATGAATACATATAATATTTACTTAGGTAATATCATAATTAACCCAAGATTTACAAGACATTAAGCCATCCACTTACCTCGGATGAGCTTTAAGAAGTTCTACCCTTCTCGGTTGAACTCCGACGAAACTCCGGCGAACTTTGTTGAACTCCGGAGACAACTCCGGATACTCTTTCAACTCCGTGAAATTACTAGGAACACCTTAGACAAGTTTCTACCAAGGTTTTATCATCAAAAAACCCATATCAATATAAATAACCTCTAAAAGGTTATTTTCTGGCGAAACGGTCACTTTGGCTTCTAAATCCGTTCTTGGACTTAGAACTACCTTCCAACCCCTCATTATACACTTCTAGACATGTACAAAAATGCTATGGTCTCTTCATATGACCCTCCATCAATATGATATTCATGAAAAGGAGAAGAAAGGTTAATGCAGCCATTACCTTAGTATCTCAAGCTTTTCTACACTTTTAGCTACTCAAACCCCTTTCTTGAGCTCCCTCTTTGCTTGGTTTGCTTTTATCTATAGAAGAATAATGTTTGAATATATTACTCCCCTCCTTGAGATGGGTTGGTCGAAAATGATAGAGGAAGGAGGTAGGGAGAGCTCTTCTTTGTCTAATAGGCAAATGAGTGAGAGAGAGGTCCACCTTGGGTCACTTCTCACCCAACCGCTCACTCTCAACCCATGCCAAACTTTCAAATAATGTTATGCAGCTTCAGTTAGTAAACCTTGAGCTCTCAAAACGTGGGGTGGCCCCCACCCATGTGGGAGGTGATCCCTTTGTGTCCCGATGTGTACAATCGGCACTGAAAGTTGTATTTCTTGGACCAATTTTTTTATATTATATTTTATTGGGCCAAATCAAATATATCACGTGTTCCCAATAACTATGGGCCGTTATAATGAATATACATTCCCTAACTTTAATTTAGGAGTCCCCTAAATTCATTTCGGGTTGTTATATATAATAAATTACCAATACCGGTAATTGGGTCTCGTTTGACCAAGTGGTCAACCCTATGCCTTTTCTATGACCCAAATAGAATATCCACCACCATATACATATTATCTAGAGCAAGATGAATATGACATGTGGTCCCAGAAATATCGGGCGGTCCCCGTTCCCAGTGTGGGCCTCACGTGAAATTTACTATTTACAAAAGTAATAACAAAAACTTACAACCTCGTAAATTCTTTAACATTTTAATAAGGTTCAATACATTATTTACATAAAATTAAATATACTTGGGGACGGTGTTACATATGTAGTCTACGAAGTTTGTGAAATCTGCCAGTGATCATTGTCATTATTTCAAAAATACTTCTATTATTCCTATGCTCTTGTTGATCCATGTGGATGCCATGTTGATCATTAGGCCTTGTGTTACATCTATTCAGTATGTGCAGAAGTGCCTCTGTGATATTTTGCTATGAAAGATCTTGGTGATTCCAAGAGAATACTTGGGATTAACACTGTTAGGGACAAGAGTAAGCACACCCTTGTGCTAAATCAGATTTCATATGTGGAGAAGGTTTTGAGTAAGTTTAACATGTCCTCTGGTGGTTCTGTGAATGTTCCCCTTTCCTCCCACTTTGTGCTAAGTAAGAACCAATCCCCAAAGAATACTTCTGAAATTGAAAATATGAAGTCTGTTTCCTACTCCAATTCTATAGGTTATGTGATGTATCTAATCGTTAGTTCTAGACCTGATATAGCCTATGATGTTAGCTGTTTGAGTAGATATATGTCTAACCATGGTATGTCTCATTCGAATGCTTTGAAATGGCTTTTAAGATATTTGAAGTTTTCTTTCAATCATGGGTTGATTTTCTCTAAGTGTTCTGATGGTGTAAAATGGAGTGGTTATGTTGATTCTAACTATGCTAATGATTGAGACAATAGGAAATCAACTACTTCCCATGTGTTCACTTTGTGTGGTTCTTATATTAGTTGGAAATCTCAGTTACAACCTATTATTGCTTTATCAACCACTGAGTCTGTGTATGTTGCAGCTATAGAGGCCTTCAAAGAAACCACTTGGCTTAGGCGTCTTGTTTCTGAAATTGGGTTTCTTAAACAAGATGTAACTGTGTTCTCAGATAGCCAATCTGCTATTCAACTTTGTAAAAATCATGTTTTTCATGATAGGATCAAACACATAGACGTGAGGTCCCACTTTATTTGTGATATTTTAGATGCATGTAAAGTGAAGTTGTGCAGGATACCCTCAGAGGTCAATCCCGCAGATATGTGAATGAAGTGTTTATCTACTGAAAAGTTATTATCTTGTAAAAGGTTTTTAAATTTGGAGTGTAGGTTCTATGAAAGCATTGTGCTTGCAAGAACCTACACTCTTGTTCTAAAAGAATACAAAGAGTACTTCTCCAATCTTCTTTTAGGAGTACTTTGTTTATCTCCAATTTTGTCTTTCGGTTGTGTCTTTTAGAATATCACTGGTGACCTAGCGATGGTGAACCACTGACTCTGTTACTACTTTTTGAATTTTGATGCTTAGCAGCCCGCTCCCTTACGTTGGGCCTCCCTGCTGCGTCATTTGTCCGATCCATCCTTGTGTCTCACTTGTGTTTATTTCGGAACCCTCTTTAGGGCTTCCGCTGGTCCCTTGGTACTTAAGCCCCTCTTTGTTCCTTTTGAGACTTGAAGTCTTCAGTCCGTGTGCTTGGAGAGAGGTTTAGAGTGAGAGAGTGAGAGAGTGAGAGAGACTGTCTAACAGTCTTCTTCTCCGGTCCTTCCGTGTTTATTCTCCCTATTCCTCCTGCTCTTGCTTTGTGGTGTGCATTGAGATGGCTGGACTGACATGAGTGTGATTGTCTTGTCCCTTCCGGTGTTTGGTGGTGCTTTGTGTGATATGTATAGTGTTGTGTGAGCTAGAGAGTGAAAACCTGACACTTTTTTCTAGAGCACTTTGATTATAAAATCAAAGTTATTTTTCCATTATCTAAACTTATAATGTACGTAATAATAGATATAAATGCCAT